GTAGGGGTCTGGGGCCACCTCTGAGTGTCTCCAGATGACCAGCAGAATGTCTGGGGGTGGGGGCAGGGTTGCTGCTGGAGGTCAAGGACTTGGCTGGGCAATTCTGGTTGGGCGGCGTCCGCCGGGCCCCACTGTGGGTGAGTCAAGGGGTGGCTCAGTCTTTCCTGGTGGCCTTGAGGGAGCAATTCATCCCTCAGGACCCCCATTTCCAAGGAGCCTGCCCTGGTTGCTCGAGGCTCGGATGTCCCAGAGGACCCTGCTGTGGCGCCCTCACCACCAGCCTCATGGCATGAACCCCCATCAGCTGCGACCGATCTGAAGTCCAGGGATGTACATGTTCTCATCCAAACCCTCCTCACAGAAACATCCAGAATAATGCTTGTCCACACCTCTAGACCCGTGGCCTGGCCCAGGTCACAGAGAACCAACCCTCACAAGCCACCCTCTGACCGTCCAGCTTACCCCCCACGCGTCTCCCTGACTGAGGAGCGGGGTTCCCGAGAGGGAGCCAGGGGGCCGGCTCCCCACACGCCAGCCTGTGGACCACAGGCGGGAGACCCCTAAGGGCCTGTGTGCAGGTGGAGGGAGGTGGCCAGGGTGGGTGCTCTGTCCTCAGCAGGGCCCGGACTGGAGCAGACATTCTCTGAATGTGGCAGGTGTGAGCAGGCACAGACCCCTGGGGCCACGAAGGCAGATCCGGGTCTTCAAAATGCAGCCAATAGCCTCCCCCTTCACCGCCCATTGGCGGCCGCACCTTGCCCACGGCTCCTACCATGCCTGTGCGTCCCCCTTGGGGGCCCGGGCAGCCCCAGCCAGAGGGGCCAGGCTGCCCAGCAGGGGCCGCGGCCCTGGCGGGATCGGTTCTGTCACGGCCCACCAGAGGGCGCGCTCCTGTCGGGAATCAGGCCTGGAGGAGCGGCCAGGGCCTGCCGCCCCCCTTACCCCCTCTTACCACCCCCCCCCCACCCCCGGCTCCCTCAGCTGCCCCTGCAGGCGCCTTTCCCCTTTCTCAGGCTGAAGCTCCCTCAGCGCCGGCTTGGCCTCTCCTGTGTGCCTGGCTGACCTGGAAAGGCCAGAGTACGAGGACCAGCTCCCTGACGGGGAGCCAAGGCCTTCATGTCCCTTCTCCCTTCTCACCAGCCCTTGGGCGCAGCTCACTGTGCCCAGTCAGTGGCCTCCCTGAAAAGCAGCAAAAATGAAAGTTGGCTCTTGCCCACTGACCACGCCGCTTGCAGCTCCGACCCTCCCGGACGCGGCTGAGGGAGCTCGCAGGACACGCTCTGCGCCCGAGGACGGAAGGAAGGAAGCTGGGCGGGCGGGAGGGCGGGAGGGTGGGTGGTGACAGCAGTCACTGCCATACTCTGTCTTCAAGACGGGAGCTCAGGCGTCGTCCCGCTGAGGAAGCGGGCGGCTGGAATTCAGAGAAAGATGCGTGAGACTCCAGATTCGGGATTTGCACCCGGGCCTGTGTGACCCCAGTTCAGGACTGCCCCAAAGTGGTGATCAGAGGGCTGGGCTCACCCTCCTGGCCTGTGGCCCTTTGCACACGAGGGGTGGCCTCCAGCCCGCTCCACTTCTCCACGCGGGATGCGAGGCTCAGGGCGCGCAGCCACTCACTAAACACCCCGTTTCTGGACCTGAACTGCAAGCATCGTGTGCTCATCCACGGACAAAGTGTTTGTTCAACTGTTTTCTGAAAAAGTCCCAGAAAAGCCTGCCCCCTCCCCACAGGGGGGCCGTGTGGAGCCCCGTCTGCGAGGCCTGAGGCCCAAGGCAAGACCCTCCTTCTGGCCAACACAAAGCAGGAGTGACCCAGCCCTGGGGAGCCCCGGCCTCACTCTCTGTATTGTGCCTGGAGAAAGGGGAGCCTGGAAGGGGGGGGAACAAGGGGCCTGGTTTGTGCGGGGCGAGGCGCATCAAGCAGGTCCATGGAGGGACAAACGCACCACGCGGGGGAGATGTTGGCCGTGGGGGGCTGTGCATGTGGGGACGTGGGGTAGAGGGAAATTCCTCTCCCTTTTTCTTACTTTTGCTTTGAACCTAAAAATACGCTTAAAAAAATCTTTCAGAAGTCAACAGAATGTCAAGTGTAATAAAAAAAAAAAACCTACCGTAAGGAGATAAATAGGAATCCCCCTAAACTTGACCACAGAAACTATGGGGTCATGGGAAAGCAATGTTCCCAAAGCAGCATTTTAAGTGGCCTGGGAGCCCAGCAGAGCAAGGAGACAGAGGAACTTTGTTAACGGAGCAGCCGGAGCCCAAGCTGTCTGACCCTTCGCCGGGCTGGCGGTTTCCGGGTGCGCCGGGGGACCGAGGCCAGAGCGAGCGCAGGGATTGCAGCCCCGGGGAGAGCAGGGTGGGCCGGAGTCCCTCCTGCTGTTGTCTGGGCCCCTGGCACCTGCCATCTGCGCGGGGGCTGCCTGCTCCCCCAGGAGACCCAGAGGCTCTCCAGGACAGCAGGGCCCGGCTCCCAGAGGTGCTGGCCCCTCTGTGCGAGCTTCTCCCAAGGGCCACACCTGGAGGCTAATTTCACATAAGGGTCCTGACTTTAGGAAACAGCATTGTTGTCTCCCTTGAATGCCTGGACCTACGTGGTAGGAGCTGCTCCGTGTGGCCAGAGGTGTGGACAGGGTGCTGCGGGCCTTGCACAGCTGACAAAGTCATAGAACAGGGGTCCAGTGCATCGTCCCCACTGTCTGCCTGCCCACGGGGAGAGGCGCTGATGTCAGGCTTCTCTCTGACCCCACAGGGCATCTGTCGCACCCAGCACTGCCTCCTCAGGCAGCCTGGTCCCGGCTAGTCCAGGGTCAGCAAATCTCCACCCCTCACTCTGCAAAAGGGGAACCTTTCCTGCTCCCCCTAAAGGTGGGTGAGCTGAGCCTGCCAGGCACGTGAGCACGGGCGGCAGGGCGGCGAGACGGCAGTGCCGAGCCAGAGGCCAGGACGGTGGCTGCCAGGGGTGCGGGGGGCCGCCAGCCCTATAATACAGACGCAGGCATGTCATTTGGGAAAGCGGGTTTGTTTTTCTTGAACAACAGGGGCCGATTAAGCCGCTCTGCATCGCAGGACTGTCTCCGGGAAGCGCAGGCCCTTATTATTTCTCTGTCCATGTTTCCAGGCCCCGCTGCACCGCCGCCATCCCAGGCCAGGGGTGCTGGCCTCCTGCCGCCAGGCCCCGCGCCTCACCTGCCCGGCTGCCGCACCTGGCGGCGCTGACCTCTGCGCAGCCAGGAGCCACCCTCAGCACACAGACCTCGCAGGCCCCGGTCCCCTTATCATCGCCGCGTGGACGTGTCCTGGCTCGTGTCCTCCAGGCACCGGCCGCCTCCACTTGTGGCTGGAGGTAGCCCGTGAGGGGCCTGGGTAGAGGCTCCTCCATGGGGCCCCTTTTCTTTGCCATCTAAACACCCCTTTGTGACTCAGCTCACGTCCCCACAGGGCCCCCAGCTTCTGCTTCGTGCAGGATGTGGGCGTGGGAGGGGGACCAGCCTCTGGGCGCGGGACTCCGGAGAGGGCAGCACACATCTCCATCCTTGCCGGCCAGGCCGAGGGTGCCGTGGGCACCAGAGAACCGTGCGAGGAGATCGTGTTAGGGGCGTCGGCCCAAGTCAGGCTCCTGGAGCAAGTCCACACCGGCCAGGAAAGCCTCCGCCTCCGGAATCTCACAGGCAGGCAGATGCGGGGTGCTCCAGGGGGTCCAGAGATGGGGATGGGCCTTTCTTATGTGACGCTGCGTGGCGCCCCCATCTCTTCCTCTCTGTCCCACCGGGGTCCTCTGGCCACCAGTGGGCCTCTCCCCTGAGCTGGCAGCTGGCACGGCCTGGCACCTCCTGGGTTCTTGGGAGACAGGCTTGTTCTGAGCTGTCCCTGGGTGGCCGGAAAGAAGCAGGCCAGGGAGGAAGGGCCGGTCGCTGAGCGCTTGCAGGTCACAGAGGAGCCGGGTCCTGTCTGTGCGTGGAGTCCTTGCCGCTGAGCTGCAGCCAGAGCTAAGAGTCTGCTGGGAGAGGGGGTGCCCGGGGTCCTAGGAATGAAGCCATGGCCTCACCCAGTTCAAAATACCCAGCCCAGGTCAGGGGCGAGGTTAGGAGGAAACAGCACGGAGATGCCTGGGAAGCTGTGACCCTTTGGGGAGCAAACGTGTCCTCGTCAGACCAACCCGGGCCCCCAGCCTGCGCTGCTTGGATGATTAAGGGTCTTCCCAAGCCCCCTCAGTCCTCACCTCAAATAAGGCCATGCGGCACTGGGCTGTGCTGAGAGCAGGGTCCCAGGGCACCCCAGGAGGAGGCGGGCAGACTTGGTTTACCCGCCTTCTGCCCCCCAGGAGAGGAGTGGGGTGCTCGGTGCAGACAAGGAGCCAAGCTGCCCCCCATCCCCTGCCCCTCCAAACTTTCCAAACATGCCCGCACCTGCTGCCTGGTCGGGGGCTATTTCGGGGGGGCTATTTCGGACCTGGCTGTTAAAGGCACCAAAATATCCCTGCTGGTCTATAATTGGGCAGGGAGTCGTCAGCCCTGCCCCGCTTCCCAGAGCCGCCTCTTTATTGCCAGGAACCCCACACTGTCCCCGCCCTTCCAGCCCAGGCCCAGGCCCCAGCCCATCTTCCCCCACTGGGGTGCATCTGGCTCCCCCTCACATTTGTCTTTGCCAGAGGGCCGGCCCTCCCTCCTCATCCCGCCCTCCGCCCCGCCCCCGCCGCGGCTCCGCCCCCAGGCAGGGGAGTCCCCCTGCTCCCAGCTGGCCCCTGGGGGTCCCGGCAGCTTTGTTCCTGGGCGGCAGCTGGCTGGCTGCAGCCTGCGTCCCCCCAGGAAGTGTCTCCTTTTCTCCTGTTTTTGTTTCTCACACCACTTTCCATTTTTCTAACTTCCAAGACTTACCTTTTTACTGAGTTATTGTTTTAAAGCGAGCTCTCTCTGGACTTCGGGCCGGGGACGCCTCCGGGCTGACTCAAGTCTTGTCCAGAGGTTGAGCTGCTGGGTGTGGGGACGGGTGGGTGGGCTGCTGGCAGGTGCCCCGGCGGGCTGCCGCCGGCTGCCGGCGTCTCTGGAATCTGCTTCCTGCGGATCTGGGTGGGCTGGAGCCCTGCTGCACCCCTGACCTCCTCCCCTGCCAGGTAAGGCCATTCTCTTCTCTCCTGGGGCGGCCAGGTCCCAGGGCGCCCCTTTGCACCCAGCTCCCTGAGGGATGCAGGGAAGGAGATGGTGCATCGGTGCTGGGGTGCAGCCTCTCTGCAGACTCGAGTCTGTCTCCTTCTGTGCTCTCAGGGAGCGACCACAGTGCTGAGCTGATGGGTCTGTGCGTCCCCAAACTTCAGGCTCAGAGGACCGTCCGGTCCAGCCTGCTCTATCCTGCTTGAACAGCCCGGAAGGGCACTGCGTTGTGTCGGATGTTGGCTTGTTTCTGAGTGGCTGCTTTTAGAGCTATCCCGGCTTCTTTACTTCCAGTAAGAAATCTAGAGCAAAAGCCAGAAAGTTGGGGAGAAAGAGAAAAGAAGCAAAAAGAAAGAAAATCAGTGTTTGGGGGAGTAGAGTGTGGGCGGAACAGGCTCCGGTTTCACATGTGTTATCAAGGAAGGTGCCTTTGGGGTCTGTGTTTAGATCACTCTCCGGTGTGAGCAATTTATCCCATCCCAACCCCTTCTTCCCGCAGCCCAGAGAGGTTGTTCTTGGCCTTTATGCGGCACAGCGCCCCCGAGAGCATCTTGTCTGGTCTGATTAGAAAGTGTGGCTGGATTCGCTGCATTATTGGGACACGTGCCCTCCCTTCTTGCCGCTCAGGCTCAGAGGTGACAGTGGACGCGTTCCGAAGGCGGCACCCACTGCCCTGTCCTGGAGCTGTGCGCTGGCGCCCCTCCCCATTCTGCTACCTGTCATCTTCTAGAAGCCCACGCAGCGCCTGTGTCTGCACAGGTCCTCCAGCCCAGTCCTCTTCTCCCAGCCGGTGTGCGCCTGGCAACACCCTACAATGCCAGGCTGGACCTGGGAGCACCGCCTGGCTATGCGCCACATCTTCGGAACAGGCCCCCGAGCTGTTCCCTGGAAGCTCTGAATCCCCAGGCTTCCAGGTGTAGGAGACCTGCAGCGTGGGGCACTGCCCCCCTGCGCATGGAGGCGCCGTGGAAGGGTATTGGCTGCCAGTCTTGCCTTCTGCCCTGGTTCTCTTGCTTTCTCTGGCTGCCCCGAGCTGGGAGGGTCGCCAGCGAGCCTCCATGCCCCCATCCGCCAGGCGGGACGGGAGAAGGGAAGCAAAGAGGTGATCCCGTGAGCGTCGTCGAGTTTGGGGCCTCACACTGGGGAAGGCGCGCCCAGCCCCAAGGTGTCCTGGTCTGTCTGCTACCGTGGGTCCTGCTAGGTGACGTGGGGAGATGGTCCCCTTCTGGCTGGTTTTCCTGTCGGGCAAGAGGCTGGAATAACGAGGGTCTCCTTCCCCAGGGGCCTCAGGGAGGCTCCGGGATGCCCCAGCCCTCCCACATGTTTGGAGCAGGAGTTGTTTACATCTGGGTTTTCTGGGGCTTTTTCAAAGTTTCATCAGATTCTCAAAGGCTTTTACGCCTCCGGAATGGTTCAGCCACAGGCTGCTCTGCCACAGTAGTGGGTTCTGTCAACTTTGTTTCAGTAGCTTGCTACCCCGCGGTCCGGGAGGCTGAGATTAGACGCACAAGCTTCCTCTCTGGCTCTCTGGAAAATTGAGAAGATGGGACTTTTGGCTTGAAGGTCAAGGCCGGGGTTAGAGGCCTTCGTTAGCCAAACTGCAGCCTCTGCTCAGCCAGGGTCATCAGGATGACCTTCTGGGCATCTCCCCATGTGGCCCCACTCTGGGCTGGAAGATCCAGGCTCCCTAGTAAGGGGGCCAGATTGTAACTGGCTGAAGCCAAAGCCTGGAGGGGGTGCCGGTGAGGATGGAGAGCCCCAGGGAAAATGAGAAGGAAGTGTCTGGGGAGTGGGGAGACTGGTGAGAAATCTAAGGGCAGCAGAAGCAGCACAGCCCCCCCTCCCCCGGCATTCAGCGTTTGGGGTTTCAGCATTTTCGGCTCTCCAGCCATTCAGGGGTCAGCGATTTCTGCCCCGCCATGTGGCTGCTCCAGAAGGCTGCTGTGGGCCTCTGAAGGATGTGGAGAGGCTTCCAGCAGCCAACGTCAGAGAGGAAAAGTTCGGAGGCTTTGCAAGTAGCCGGGTGACTGAAACCGTTCCTAGTCTTGGGGCTGTTATAGCCGGAGGGGAGGGCGGAGACCCGGAGCCAGTCACAGCAGCTAAACCGCTCACAGTTTCAATCCCTCGGTTTCCCTTGTTGCCCCGTATCAAGACCAGCTGACGAGCCTCCACGGGCGGGGCCTGCGTGTCCTGGACTGGGGTCGGGCGTGAGCAGCGCTGCCCTGGGAGATGGGCGGGCTGCCCCGTGCAGGGGTCTGACAGGGTGGTTGGAAGGACTGAGGGGCGGGGGTCAGCCTCAATGGATACAGGTTTCTGTTGTGGTTGGAAGAGCTTTCCAGAGACAGGAGGGCCCAGGCCTGGGGTGGTGGGTTCCCCACAGCCAAAGGTACAGAGCAGAGGTTGGGGCCCTTGTGGCGGGCTGGTGGAGGGCTGAGCTGAACCTGGGGTGCTCGGGTCAGGTGGACTTTCCCCTCTTCTCCCAGCTTGAGACCCTGCACTTCCTAAGCGCTTCTTCCCCAGCTTAAAATTCTGCTGTCTCCTCCCGCCACGCTGCTGCTGGTGGTGATAGGCTCACGCATACAAGGGGTCAGGCCCGTGGGCCAGGGCCATGCATACCAGTCGCTTCTGTTATCAAGGACAGGGAACAGAGAGCTTGACTGACTCACCTGAGGACAGGTAGCCAGAACAGAGGAGGCTGATACCAAGCCTGGGGCATCAAAGCCATTGCCCCTAAGGCCTTTCTCTCATGCTGGGGCACTCCCCCAAGGGGTCAGCGTTATTGATGCTGACTACCGAGGACTGAAATGAGCAGTGGGGGGGGGGGCGAGCCCTAAGGATTTTCATCCAGTCCCCTACTCAAGAATCAGAGAAATCCTGGTCATCCAACATGAATCAAGACAGACTTAGACCTGGGAAGATGGGAAAGTGAGACCCTCGCCCCCAATTTCACAGCTGAGGACACAGCCCCGGGGGACGCATGTTAGTTCTCCTACTTGGAATTTAGGGACAAGCAGGTCTCGTGAGGTGGAAGGACTTAGAGCGACCGACCCTCCGGCCTCACCGCCCAGGATCGGCCGGAGCGCGTGTGCACGCGAGTGTGTGCGTGTGCACCGGGATGGGGTCGGTGCGTGACGCGGCCAGCCCCAGCCAGGGGGCCAGGTGGACATGGCCTCTTTGCCTGTTGCCCGGGGCAGTGCAGGGCTGGTGGCTGAGCTGAACCATGAGCGCGTGAGGGAATAAAGGCCGGGAGCCGGGGGCCGCGCCCGCTACAGGCCGTCTGGCCCCAGCCCATGTCCCCCTTGGGAGGCTCTGCCGTGGCTCCTGCTGCTCTCCCCCAGGAAAGGGGACCCCGCCGGCCAGTCGGCTAGTGCGGCAGCCCTATTTATACACGTGGCTTCATCAGGCCAGACGCTGCTCAAAATAAGCTAAGCAGAAATATCTTCTGTGTCTCAGGGCCCTGTGATCTGAGACCGTTTCCTGTGACATGAGCTGAGACCTTGTGTTTGAGGGGAGGAAAAGGGGACAAGGGAGGAGGAAGTGGGAGGCCTTTCAGACTGAAAACGTGGAAGAATGTAGCGTGGTCCTGCGGCAGGAGGCCCGGTCCAGGGCCCTGAGGGCGAGGCAGGGCCCTGGCTGAGGGCGAGGCTGGAGGGAGGGCACGAGAGAATGCCGAATGCCTGCCCGAGAGCCCAGAAAGAAGAGGACTCGTGGGGGACCCCATCCCGGGAGGCCTCGTGGGGGGCCGGTAGGCCTGCCAGCCTCTTGGCCCCCCAGCCCCCTGCCTGCCCTGTACCTGGTAAACTCAAAGCCTAAAAAAGCCACCGAGGGCGCCAGGACTCTCCTTTATCATCCACTCGGGTCAGAGAAAACCCGCCGTGTGCCATCCTGCCGCTACAGTTGTTCAGACTGCGGTGGTTTTTGGAGTCTGTGGGTTTGGAGAGCGGGGTCCGTGGGATCACCCTGGGAATGGTTTCACCAAACCCCCCTTTCAGCAACACGTGGCGCGGTTCCCGGCGGGTTTCTCCACGAGACAGAGGCGGGAGGGATCTCTCAAGGGCAGGTTTACTAGGGCAGGGACAGAAGAGAGAAGGACACTTGCGTAGACACCAGCGGGCGGGAAGAGCTGCCCCGAAGGAACAGGTTTGCTGAGAGGCCCGCGTGGGTGCAGGCGGGCGGCCTTGAGGAGCGGCCTCTGCGGAGGGGTCACCGAGGAGAAGCCCCGGCAGGGACAGGTCATGGGCAGGCAGGAGGCTGCTGCCCTGCAGAGGAGAGAGTGGGTGGAAAGAATCACCTGCATGGGCACAGGTGGGCAGAGGGCGTGCTGCCCGGAGCCTGTGCAGACACTGCCCTGATAGAGTCCGCTTCCGTTTGGGAGGGGCCACCCCTTGTGAGCTGTCAGTTGGTTGCTGATTTGGGACAACTGCAGAATCTGAAAGAGACCGGAGATTCCACCACGGGCTCCATCTCCACATCTTTACCTTCGGGTGCCAGCTCTGATGCCTGCCTGGATGTTATGCTTTGTAACGTAGGCGTCAGCACCTGAGGACCTTGGTCTCCAGAGCTGTGTCGGTGGCTGTGCTCATCCCGCTACCCCCACCTCCAGCTCTTGGCATTTTGTGAGCCAGGTTTCTGGTCCTGTGCCCACCTCCCATTTAATTTTTTTATTCCCGTCCTCCACCAAGACCACCAGTGCGGCTCTCATAGGGGTTTGGTTTTCATCCAAGGCGCTGGCTCCCAGCCCCCGCAGAGCCTGGAATTTCCTAGGAGTGGGGACAGTTCCAGGTGTCTCTTGTTATGTTAATGTAGTAACTTTTGGAAAACACCTGGGGAGATGGCGGTTGCCAGGGAAACGAACTTGCTCTGAGGGTGGGAATGTCCAGTCACGTGGCCTCCAGAGTGGAGAGGGGCTGGAGGTGGACTCCAGGGTGAGGGGCCAGTGTTCAGTGGCTCCTCCTAAGTGACT